GGCTTGGCTGCCTATCGATACTGAGCTGCCATGGTGGCTGTCTAGGTCGTCGGCCTGTCTGGGTCTGGCTGCGTCAGGAGAGCTGTCTGCTTCAACAGCTGTTGCAGAAGACTGTCCTGCAACACATGCTGTCCACTATTACAAACAACATTCGCTCTGAACCGGTCCTTGTCTGTCTGCGACATTCCCTGCAGGGCTTGCGCTGCACCGTCCATGCTTGGTCCTGCAACACTGGTTGACTGGAAGGAAATCAGTCGACTGATGCTCTGGTCCTGTCTTTGTCTGGCCAAAATGGCCTTACAAAAGCAGCAATTAATCAGTTCTGAGACTGCCTGTCCGATTCTCGTGTCCTGCCTGGGTCTGGCCAAGCAAGGCAGGCTGATTGTCTGCAGCCGCAACGGCTGCGTGGGAAGCGGTCGTGGTGTGTGTGTGTGTGTGTGTGCGTGTGTGCGTGTGTGCGTGTGTGCGTGTGTCTGTGTGTGTGATGTGACCCCGAAACCCCCCTAATATTAAAACCAAACCCCCGGATCTGAGTTTTTATATTAGGTAGGGGGGGTTTAATAATAGGGGGAAACGATTAGTCAAGCATCGCGTTTGGGGTATTGTTGTTCCTGTCGAAATAAATATGGTCTGGCAGATTGTTCGGAGTCTAACATATTTCGGTGGCTCAGGCCTTGCGTGTCGGCTTTAGGAGTTTTAGGCCCGTGTGGAGTGCAAGTGTGTCTTCCTTGGCCCGCAACTCCCAGGCAAAAGACGTTAGACGCCACGTTTTCTTGTCAAGTGCTGCACAGCCAATATACCCCACTCCCTGCGAGGCTCGCGCCAAAGCCGTCATGAATGAGTTACTGGCCCAGGGCCTCCCAGCACCTGGCCCTGCGAAGCTTCGGAGTCCGGTGTGCAAAAACCCAGGCCCCATGACAGTCCTTTCTGTAAATAAAGGCTCATCCCGGCTGTCCGACATATTTTGATCCCCCTAATCATGCGTCGTACAGTGGCTAAAAGGCTTTGGAGGTCTCAGAACTTGCTCAAGTAATTTGCTGAATTGAAGCCGCAAAAGGCAGATAGACCTCTGCATGTTCATGGCCTGTCCTTGAGATCAGAGATTCATGATACAAGCTTAGCACACCAGCCTGAAGCGCACACAGTCGACGGCAGATACTCCTGGTGCGGACAACCCAACCGTGAGGCGTCCTTCTCCAACATTAAAACCCTCGAAGTGCAGCCCACCGAGGAGAAGCAGATCAGCTTCACTGCCTGGGGAAGGCGTGCTGGGCCTTGGGTATCGAAAGTTCGGGACGTATCTTTTCCTGCTGCGCGCAGGCTTCAGGTGCTCGGTTTAGGGTACGAAGTCTTGTTGTGGGTTTAGGGTAGTGTCGAGGCCAGCAAAATTTGTACATGCTGCTTTCATAGCCTTAGACCGCGCTTCCGGTTCCTGCCGGCGGTTCCGCATGTTATTCACAATGACCTAGACAAGGCATGGCTGTAGAAGATGCGCCGCATGCAATGCTCATGCTTATTCCAGTCCGTGCTTAATCGTGCCACCTCTGGATGCCACAACGAAAAACCAGACACAACCAGACTACATCAGCACCTGAGACAAGGAATTGGACTGCATACACTTGCGCGATTATAGCAGACACTGTCTTTCCCGGCAGCCCAGCTAGCCAGCAAGCCAGGCTGCAACGTGGTTCGGACTTTTGTTGAAGAGACGAAGGTCCCGGAATGTCAAAACTCCTCCACCTGTAATTCTGAATACCCGATGGGCTCAAAGTTTATGTGATATTCGGCGACTTTATGGCGCCAATATCCACAATCGCTGTAAGTCGCTCGATGGCACAGCGACTGGCGCGATCTCGTGTCGAGAAGCGTCAGCCACTGAAGCAGACGGAGCTTTGCACATTCTTCTCACAGAGGGGATGAGTCGAGGGAATCGTTGCACTTTCGCCATGTATCGCAGAGCTGCGCCCACGTCCAGACCTCTACAAGACAAGGCTTTGCTCCTCTTACTCTCTGTAGCAGCAGTGTCCGTACGGTGAATTAAGACTGTACTCATGCCCACGGTCAAGAGGAACTGCGATCAGTCGGAGTCTTTCCAGATCTGGAGATGGACCGGCTGGGCGACAGCAAGCAGCTATTCGCCAACCCATCTGCTGTTTGCGAATCTGAGCTGTCAGTGTCGTCGGCGGTAAACCAGTTTGGTTTGCCAAACACCCGCGACAGTCCAACGCACGATGTCCTTCGACTACGACCCAGCTCGTGGCAGCGATTGCTGTTATCAAATCACCACTGCTAGTGACTACAGGCCACCCTGGAGAAGCCGTCTGCATCAGATGCAGACCCCTCCGCATCACATGCAGACGCTCGATTTCTTGGCTCACGGTCACGGGGAAGTCCTGAGTTTGTAGCACGTAGTCGACATGACCTGAGGTGCTCTCAAAGACCTGCATGAACCACTGGTTACAAACATTACGTGCGCAGTGCTCATGTCGAAGTACATGGAGACTAAAAGGGACAGGCTGCCCAGGGAGGAGTTCATGCTGGTCTCTGCGAGCAAACCCCTTCTTGGTTTTTTTCGCAAAAGACAGCAGCTGGCGATGCGAGTATCTTGTGCATGGAGAGCAAAATGACAGCTTGACACATGTGTCGAGCTTTTGTCGCCTCGCTGGCACACGCTTTGGGCTAGGCTGGTGTCTACGGCATGGCCGGAAGACGAGCGCGTGGCAAGGGCTGAGGTCTACTTCCAGCTGGCTCCGCGGAGGCATTTGTAGGGGTAGCACGGCTAGGATAGCGAAGCAGCTTTGCAGTCTTGTTGTTTAGGGCAGGAGAGCAGAAGTAGTAGCTATTGAACGTACATAGTAGTAATACAAGGTGGCAGGAGGTCGTGGTGGGTTGCTGGCAGTAGCTAGTCTCTCGTAGCTTGTGGCAGCAGCAGTAGCAGTGGCAGTGGCAGTTGCAGTAGCAGTACCAGTAGCAGGAGCAGTGGCAGTAGCAGTTGCAGTAGCAGAAGCAGTAGCAGTAGCAGTAGCAGTAGTAGTAGTAGTAGTAGTAGTAGTAGTAGTAGAAGTAGTAGTAGTAGTAGTAGTAGTAGCAGTAGGAGTAGTAGTCGTAGTAGTCGTGGTGGTAGTGGTAGTGGTAGTGGTAGTGGTAGTGGTAGTAGTAGTAGTAGTGGTAGTGGTAGTGGTAGTGACAGTGGCAGTGGCAGTGGCAGTGGCAGTGGCAGTGGCAGTGGTAGTGGTAGTGGTAGTGG